CGCCGCCCCACCTCCTCCTTCTCTCATCGAAGCGTGCTTGCCTACTGCCTCTGCCGCCACCAGTGCCTAGGCCCCGGGGGGGGATCATGCGTGCGAGCAAGCGCCGCACTCATCAGCATCTCTCCCGGGCCTGGGGCGCCAAACATACTCAATCAACAAACTTCTAACTGCATTTTCCCTCTTGGGTCTCTCCAAAGTGAAATTGAGAGTTGGACAATATCAGCAAAAAAAACAATATGGAACATCCCTAGTATTCACCAATGAATACATCTCATTTCGTTAGATCATGCATAATGTTTGTCCTTTGATTGTGAAATACATAATATACTTGGTTGGCCAACTCATTGCCGGTGTTCAGTCAGTGGTTTATGAACTCCACAGACATGACACCGGTCGACAGTAGCACCGCTGTAACCATGAATATGCATGGGGCTATGTGATTAAATGGACGGTAGATAAAATGTGACATGGCATAATGAATGAGGATCTTAAAGCACATATTCAACCTCGATTAATCATTGAAGACTGTCGCACACGCACACTTATCAGATGGTGGGAGAAAATCATAGACGCGATGAAGAAGTGTGGCAGCACCTGGCCCAGTCCATCACCAGGACGGTTTATACACATCTGGGTTGTCTATACTGTTGATACTTACTGGTATTCACCATTTAAAACAATGTGGAGGATTTCAATAAACTACAGCAGTCTCTGAAATGATTTCCAATTATTATTTACTTATGTGTGTTTGTTTATACACTGTGTTTCAAACCTGCAGGTACAGCACGAAACCATTCCACATAAAAACACCTAACCCTAACTCTTTTGAACTGTATTTTGTAATTCAAGAAAACAAACTTCCATCCATCCATTTTCTACCCTTTAATCCATTTCTGGGTCAGGGGGGTGGCAGTCAGAGATGCCACCCAAGTCTCATAGCACCAGCTATAACATGTTTGTTATTTATTACCGGGCGGCACGGTGGCTGAGTGGATAGCACTCTCGCCTCTCAGCAAGAAGGTCCTGGGTTTGAATCCCGGTTGGACCAGGGCCTTTCTGAGTGGAGTTTGCATGTTCTCCCCGTGTCTGCGTAGGTTTCCTCCGGGTACTCCGGTTTCCCCTACCACTAAAAATATGTACAATAGGTCTGGCATGTGCTTCCTGTACTGGCCCCGCTCCCATCTCTGTGTGGAGTGAGAGACAAATGCCCATAATTAACAATTGTAAACCGCTTTGAGACTCAGATCTGCAGTGAAAAGGCGGTATATAAATAAAGATTACTACTACTACTACTATTATAACAGTAGTTCAAGTTCAAATCAAATCAAATCAAATTTTATTTGTATAGCGCCCAACAACAGCCAGAAGGTGCCCAGGGCGCTTTCCAGGATAAAAACAAGAATCACAATAGACACCGATAAAAACAAACACATAAAAAGAACAGCAGTCGAGTCAGTGATTATGCATTGAATGCTTTGTTGAAAGGTTAGATCTAATTTTTGTTTTAAATAAAATAAGAATAAAAACACACACTAACTTCTAATCTCGGCTCCATTTTTTTATTTATTTACCCCCATCAAAATGAATGAATAACTTACAGTATGGGCATAAATCCATCTACTTCAGTGTCTGTTTATGAGTCTACGGTTGCATGAAGCTGCCTTCCCTTCTGTGAAGATGACTCATTTATATATAACACCTGCGATGACACTGTGCTGGTGTGTTCCATGGGGTCATGGGGGTTTAGGAATAGGCACTGCAGCAAAGGCAAGCCGTCACCTCAACCCAACACCCAATCTAGAAAATCTAACGCTACAGTGATGTATAGCTTTCTCTAAGCCTAACGCATGAGCGAAAACTGAGGAAGTTATTAGATAAAGATATTAACATATAACTCATTTGGCCCATCACTGCTGCCCACAGATTACTTATATTGTGGCCATTGTCAATCGTACACTGTCCGTCAGCCAATCATAACAGACGCTGATATGTCTTTGTTTCTATCCAACCATAATGACAAATGGTGGGATTTCATTTGGGTATATACCATGATCTAATGGTTTCTTTGCTAGATGGCTCATATATATAAAAACATTAAATACAACAAATACATACCACACTATGCGTGCCATAGGTATAACAAATCTAACAGTGTTGAGTTTCCAGGTTCATCTAGCTATAGTCAGAAATAAATATGGACATTAGGTTCATCCGTCTACTAGAGTATGATCAAAGAGGGTCCGCACTCGCCTTTGGTGCTGGACTATGCCCCTTACTGTTCACCTCAGAGGGAACAAAGAATGACTCTAATGTACAGGTCGTATTTCTTTATTCTGAACAGAACGTACGACATACGCCTGGTCTTATATATGTGTGAAAAGCCTTTGATATTGTCTCTGCAGTGAATACAGGTGATGCCATTGTTAAAGCTCAACGCATGAATAAATGCATGGCTTCTTAAAGATGTACTTAAAAATGTACTTATTTCATGAGGAAGGTCTTACTTTTGTTTGTTTCCATGGAGATGCTTTTGCATGAGCTGTAAAGTTTTCACAATCCACATCTTCTTTGTTTCAATAAAACTTTATGTAATTCAACAAATGCAAGACAAAGGAGCTAAGTGCCATTCTCCAAAACAACCCAAACACATGTCGTGACCCATAAATCTGGAAAACCATAATGTCCCAATGATGTCATTGAAGTCAATATAAATCACACTGTGGCTTAATCTCTCTGTGTCCAGGACTTCCTGTGTCTGAGGGGGTTCCCTCCGGGTGCTTCAGTTTCCTCTACTACTAAAAACATGTACAATACTTCAGGATGTACTGTATGTGTAACAGAAGGTCAGACAATTATGATCTTAGGAATAGTCTGTAAAACAGGTCTATGTGCAACACGAGATATTGTGAAAATAAAACAAAAATGAATATAACACGCAAAAAATATAATAAAAAATACAGATGTTGTTTGTTCGGTGGAATCATTTGAACAGTCTGCATGATATTAGAAAGTCTGAACTTCCAGTGTAAAGAAGAGTGCATCTACTTCCAGTGTGCAGGCGTACAAAAAGGCAGTTTTATAAATAGATGCATACACAAATTTGTGTATGTAAAAAAAAAGTATACTATTAGTTGTTAGAAAAGTCTACCATGGGCTGTTTTTTTTTTAAATTTTTTTATTGTAAACATGTTCTTTTTCATACATTGTATTTTAACATGCCCATTTAACATAGGGCAGTTTTATAAATAGATACATACAAAAATTTGTGTATGCATCTATTTATAAAACTGCCTTTTTGTACGCCTGCACACTGGAAGTAGATGCACTCTTCTTTACACTGGAAGTTCAGACTTTCTAATATCATGCAGACTGTTCAAATGATTCCACCGAACAAACAACATCTGTGTTTTTTTTATATTTTTTGCAGTTTTGACTGATAGAATTCCAAATATAACTGAATTTTGTCAAAACGCACATTTCTCTAATACAAGAGAGGAAAAAAAGCCAGCTTCAGGGCCTCCAATCCATTCACATTTTGTTTAGTTTATGTTCGGCATTACTTTACTTCTATAAAACGCTGGTACTTTTTCTGCCTCTGATCAGTCCTGACTAAAACATGAGGCGATGGTAATGCTGAGACAGTGTGCACACTTTTTAATGAATAGTGATAACTTTGCACAGCGGCAAAAGTCTCCGAGTCTATTCCAGACTGAGGTGCTTTGATTAACAATGACATCAAACCGGCTGCCAGTGTTTTAAAGTAAATCTCTAAAACCTACATTATCCCTCCTCTAATGCACTGCTTTTTTGCTGAATTGTGCTCCTGACGTCCCGCGCTGACTTCTTTGATGCAAATTTCTTCCTTAGCCCTTCTCCCGCGCTCACAGGAGGGATGCTTAATTAATGGGAGTATTCAGATAAAATCATGGAAGAGGTCCATCACTCGCCGTTATCCCACATCTTGCCTTTGATTGCCTCATCCACCTTAGTTTCTGTTTTCTCTTCGGCCCAGCCACACCCATCTGGGCAGCTAATTAGGCTAAAACGCATCAGCGAATGGCGTTTTAGCTTGGTCCAGCAGTCTGCTCCGGTCGTTCTGTATCGCCTGGAGTTTGCCACGGAGCGCACCTGCTTATAAATGCAGCAGGCCTGAATGTCACTTTTGTTTATTGATTTTAAATCTCGCACAAGACATATTTTGCAGCCCGTAGCGAATAAGGCGTGTGAGGAGTGACAGTAATATGGGAGAGAGAGTCCATTTGGGATAGGGCTGGGAGGCCTTGTTTTAAGCATTTTATTTATTTAACACTAGAGATCCCAGAGCAGTACATTTTGACAGCTTTTAGTTTTGGAAGTCTTATTACTCTGCATAAGATAATTTTTTGTGTTAAATGTTGGGTTTCTATGTGTAGTTTCTTCCTATGACAGTATTTTATTCTAAAACCTTTTTGTCTGGAGTTTGCATGTTCTACCCGTCAGATATTCAAGCCTCGGAAGAATTGTGATCCATCCATCTTCTTCCAAACCAATCTTACTAGATCATTTGAGATCAAGGAACATGTTGGATTAATTTAATTTCAAAGGCACTCCACTTTATTCTTCTGTCACACATACATCACAAATCATGATAGTTTTGTTTATTTGAAAAAAAAAACTCAGTCCTAATCTGGTACATAATTAAAAAACTGTTTTTCGTAGGGAAAAGGTCATGGAGCGATTGGTATTTAAGAATCGAGTGGCCGCACAGCAGGCCCCGCAAAACAAACACTGCTCTGCCTCTCGGTGTGTACATTTTCCCAAAGAGAAGAGATCAATCAATCCCAAGCATCAATATCTGTTTGCATCCCTTTAGCCGCACACGTTTGCCGACTAATGAAATCTGCGCATGGCTCCCCTCTTATCGATTTCAAGAGGGGAGCCTAATTTGCCGCTAGAGATCTGGCCTCCCCTTCTCCCATGCTCACACTCCCTCTCCCCACTGCTCCTCATGTGGAACAGCCATGCTCACACTCCCTCTCCCCACTGCTCCTCATGTGGAACAGCCATGCTCACACTCCCTCTCCCCACTGCTCCTCATGTGGAACAGCCATGCTCACACTCCCTCTCCCCACTGCTCCTCATGTGGAACAGCCATGCTCACACTCCCTCTCCCCACTGCTCCTCATGTGGAACAGCCATGCTCACACTCCCTCTCCCCACTGCTCCTCATGTGGAACAGCCATGCTCACACTCCCTCTCCCCACTGCTCCTCATGTGGAACAGCCATGCTCACACTCCCTCTCCCCACTGCTCCTCATGTGGAACAGCCATGCTCACACTCCCTCTCCCCACTGCTCCTCATGTGGAACAGCCATGCTCACACTCCCTCTCCCCACTGCTCCTCATGTGGAACAGCCATGCTCACACTCCCTCTCCCCACTGCTCCTCATGTGGAACAGCCATGCTCACACTCCCTCTCCCCACTGCTCCTCATGTGGAACAGCCATGCTCACACTCCCTCTCCCCACTGCTCCTCATGTGGAACAGCCATGCTCACACTCCCTCTCCCCACTGCTCCTCATGTGGAACAGCCATGCTCACACTCCCTCTCCCCACTGCTCCTCATGTGGAACAGCCATGCTCACACTCCCTCTCCCCACTGCTCCTCATGTGGAACAGCCATGCTCACACTCCCTCTCCCCACTGCTCCTCATGTGGAACAGCCATGCTCACACTCCCCCCCCCACTGCTCCTCATGTGGAACAGCCATGCTCACACTCCCTCTCCCACTGCTCCTCATGTGGAACAGCCATGCTCACACTCCCTCTCCCCACTGCTCCTCATGTGGAACAGCCATGCTCACACTCCCTCTCCCACTGCTCCTCATGTGGAACAGCCATGCTCACACTCCCTCTCCTCTGCTCCTCATGTGGAACAGCCATGCTCACACTCCCTCTCCCCACTGCTCCTCATGTGGAACAGCCATGCTCACACTCCCTCTCCCCACTGCTCCTCATGTGGAACAGCCATGCTCACACTCCCTCTCCCCACTGCTCCTCATGTGGAACAGCCATGCTCACACTCCCTCTCCCCACTGCTCCTCATGTGGAACAGCCATGCTCACACTCCCTCTCCCCACTGCTCCTCATGTGGAACAGCCATGCTCACACTCCCTCTCCCCACTGCTCCTCATGTGGAACAGCCATGCTCACACTCCCTCTCTCCACTGCTCCTCATGTGGAACAGCCATGCTCACACTCCCTCTCCCCACTGCTCCTCATGTGGAACAGCCATGCTCACACTCCCTCTCCCCACTGCTCCTCATGTGGAACAGCCATGCTCACACTCCCTCTCCTCTGCTCCTCATGTGGAACAGCCATGCTCACACTCCCTCTCCCCACTGCTCCTCATGTGGAACAGCCATGCTCACACTCCCTCTCCCCACTGCTCCTCATGTGGAACAGCCATGCTCACACTCCCTCTCCCCACTGCTCCTCATGTGGAACAGCCATGCTCACACTCCCTCTCCCCACTGCTCCTCATGTGGAACAGCCATGCTCACACTCCCTCTCCTCTGCTCCTCATGTGGAACAGCCATGCTCACACTCCCTCTCCCCACTGCTCCTCATGTGGAACAGCCATGCTCACACTCCCTCTCCCCACTGCTCCTCATGTGGAACAGCCATGCTCACACTCCCTCTCCTCTGCTCCTCATGTGGAACAGCCATGCTCACACTCCCTCTCCCCACTGCTCCTCATGTGGAACAGCCATGCTCACACACCCCCCCCCCCCACTGCTCCTCATGTGGAACAGCCATGCTCACACTCCCCCCCCACTGCTCCTCATGTGGAACAGCCATGCTACACACTCCCCCCCCCACTGCTCCTCATGTGGAACAGCCATGCTCACACTCCCTCTCCTCTGCTCCTCATGTGGAACAGCCATGCTCACACTCCCTCTCCTCTGCTCCTCATGTGGAACAGCCATGCTCACACTCCCTCTCCCCACTGCTCCTCACGTGGAACAGCCATGCTCACACTCCCTCTCCCCACTGCTCCTCATGTGGAACAGCCATGCTCACACTCCGCCCCCACTGCTCCTCATGTGGAACAGCCATGCTCACACTCCCTCTCCCCACTGCTCCTCATGTGGAACAGCCATGCTCACACTCCCTCTCCCACTGCTCCTCATGTGGAACAGCCATGCTCACACTCCCTCTCCCCACTGCTCCTCATGTGGAACAGCCATGCTCACACTCCCTCTCCTCTGCTCCTCATGTGGAACAGCCATGCTCACACTCCCTCTCCTCTGCTCCTCATGTGGAACAGCCATGCTCACACTCCCTCTCCTCTGCTCCTCATGTGGAACAGCCATGCTCACACTCCCTCTCTCCACTGCTCCTCATGTGGAACAGCCATGCTCACACTCCCTCTCCCACTGCTCCTCATGTGGAACAGCCATGCTCACACTCCCTCTCCCCACTGCTCCTCATGTGGAACAGCCATGCTCACACTCCCTCTCCCCTCTGCTCCTCATGTGGACCAGCCATGCTCACACTCCCTCTCCCCACTGCTCCTCATGTGGAACAGCCATGCTCACACTCCCTCCCCCCACTGCTCCTCATGTGGAACAGCCATGCTCACACTCCCTCTCCCCACTGCTCCTCATGTGGAACAGCCATGCTCACACTCCCTCTCCCCACTGCTCCTCATGTGGAACAGCCATGCTCACACTCCCTCTCCCCACTGCTCCTCATGTGGAACAGCCATGCTCACACTCCCCCCCCCCACTGCTCCTCATGTGGAACAGCCATGCTCACACTCCCTCTCCCCACTGCTCCTCATGTGGAACAGCCATGCTCACACTCCCTCTCCCCACTGCTCCTCATGTGGAACAGCCATGCTCACACTCCCTCCCCCCACTGCTCCTCATGTGGAACAGCCATGCTCACACTCCCTCTCCTCTGCTCCTCATGTGGAACAGCCATGCTCACACTCCCTCTCCTCTGCTCCTCATGTGGAACAGCCATGCTCACACTCCCTCTCCCACTGCTCCTCATGTGGAACAGCCATGCTCACACTCCCTCTCCCCACTGCTCCTCATGTGGAACAGCCATGCTCACACTCCCCCCCCCACTGCTCCTTATGTGGAACAGCCATGCCCACACTCCCTCTCCCCACTGCTCCTCATGTGGAACAGCCATGCTCACACTCCCTCTCCCCACTGCTCCTCATGTGGAACAGCCATGCTCACACTCCCCCCCCCACTGCTCCTCATGTGGAACAGCCATGCTCACACTCCCCCCCCCACTGCTCCTCATGTGGAACAGCCATGCTCACACTCCCTCCCCCCACTGCTCCTCATGTGGAACAGCCATGCTCACACCCCCTCTCTCCACTGCTCCTCATGTGGAACAGCCATGCTCACACTCCCCCCCCCACTGCTCCTCATGTGGAACAGCCATGCTCACACTCCCTCTCCCCACTGCTCCTCATGTGGAACAGCCATGCTCACACTCCCTCTCCCCACTGCTCCTCATGTGGAACAGCCATGCTCACACTCCCCCTCCCCCACTGCTCCTCATGTGGAACAGCCATGCTCACACTCCCTCTCCCCACTGCTCCTCATGTGGAACAGCCATGCTCACACTCCCCCCCCCACTGCTCCTCATGTGGAACAGCCATGCTCACACTCCCCCGTGACCCCACTGCTCCTCATGTGGAACAGCCATGCTCACACTCCCTCTCCCCACTGCTCCTCATGTGGAACAGCCATGCTCACACTCTCCCCCCCCACTGCTCCTCATGTGGAACAGCCATGCTCACACTCCCTCTCCCCACTGCTCCTCATGTGGAACAGCCATGCTCACACTCCCTCTCCCCACTGCTCCTCATGTGGAACAGCCATGCTCACACTCCCCCCCCCACTGCTCCTCATGTGGAACAGCCATGCTCACACTCCCCCCCCCACTGCTCCTCATGTGGAACAGCCATGCTCACACTCCCCCCCCCACTGCTCCTCTCATGTGGAACAGCCATGCTCACACTCCCCCTCTCCCCACTGCTCCTCATGTGGAACAGCCATGCTCACACTCCTCCCCCACTGCTCCTCATGTGGAACAGCCATGCTCACACTCTCCCCCACACTGCTCCTCATGTGGAACAGCCATGCTCACACTCCCTCTCCCCACTGCTCCTCATGTGGAACAGCCATGCTCACACTCCCTCTCCCCACTGCTCCTCATGTGGAACAGCCATGCTCACACTCCCTCTCCCCACTGCTCCTCATGTGGAACACATGCTCCATCCCCCTCACACTGAACCGCCACACTCTCCCCACTGCTCCTCATGTGGAACAGCCATGCCACACTCCCTCTCCCCACTGCTCCTCATGTGGAACAGCCATGCTCACACTCCCCCCCCCACTGCTCCTCATGTGGAACCCCCACTGCTCCTCATGTGGAACAGCCATGCCTTGCGGCGCTGTATCGAGCAGTGGCAGCGGCAGTCGGGGGAAATCCTGGAGGGCAAACTGTTTAGTGCACTCACTGAAGTCGTTAGATATGATTAATATTGTGCTGAGAGGCGGCGTACACCATCAAAGAGCTCATCATAAGCACATATCACCTGCTTACTACAGATTAACTTTTCCACGTGCATTTAGATCCGCCGTTTTGCTGTGTGGAAGTGCCCGTCGTCGGTGAGGATTGGATGGACCGGTGGTTGGAGCTATCAGAGGGACTATGTCTAATAACCATATCTATAGGGCATTGGAATTTAATGACTGCACTAAAAAGCTATTTTATCGTTAATTGGAAAAATGCATTGATTCTCATTTGTTGAGAAGCATGTGTGGAAGCATACATCAGATCGACTTCCTTCAAGCGGCCAGTCAGTAATTGCTAATAGTTTTTTTTCTTAATGTAAATCAGAATGTTGACAGTGTAATTTCTCTTTGGGTGTGCTCTGAGACCTATGACTGCATTTATCCCTGGATTTAGGACTGTAGGAATACTCGACATACTAATATTGAAGTAACAGTTTTAACATGATCATGAGGGTAATGACTGAAAGGACGAGATCGCGGATACAAGCGGTCAAAATATTTTCTCTGGTGCTCAGTCACACAAAAGGAGCTCAAAGTAGAGCCACTTCTGCTTCACATCGAGAGGAGCCAGTTCAGGTGACTCTGGCCTCTGTTCCGGATGCCTCCTACTGTAGATGCTTCCCTGGGGAGGTGTTCTGGGCATGTCCCACAGCGAGGAGACCCAAGGAAAGAAAAAAATAGAAGCCATTGTGGCTTCTGCAACTCTAGCTGTTGGTGAAGCGTGGGAAGCTCTCTTGTGTCTCAGCAGGAAGGTCCTGGGTTTCTGAGTGGAGTTTGCATGTTCTCTCTAGGGGCTCCTATTAAAAACAATAGGTCAACTCCTACAGCTCTGGTAGTGCTAATCAGCTGTAATTATTACATCAGTAAGAAGACAACTGCTCCTGACTGAGGCCCTAGTGGCACTGAAAAGATCTGTATAATGCAAACGGCAAATGTCTCTATGGTGACCATATATATAACTAATATACACAGTATATATATATAATATATATATAGTATAACAATAAAGTAAAACTTAACTCAGAGTCCGATGATACCACTATAGCTACAGTTCTCTGTGGACAGATTGATAAAATATTTGCTAAATACTAGTTTCCTACCATCAAATACACACACCCTCCGCAAATTAATACTGCGAAGTGTCTTGCTTAACGCTACTAGAACAGTTTGGCACAGCTGCATCACGATACTAACCAGGCCCTGACCCAATTAGCTTCTGAGATCTGAATGATTTATTAATGACCAAACATAAGTTGGTGAAATTGGTTTGTGGTACAGCAGGAATACTCACCTCACCTGAGTACAAGCAAAGACACACAAAAACAAACATACATGAACAACAACAGGGGCATTTCACATTAGGGATTGGTGGAAGGACAGAAAAGCAGTGGGAAAGAAGATGTTTTTGAGGCAAACTGATTTACAAGAAAAGGATCTGTAGTGCCCCCGGGAGGTAGGAGTGGGGACAGATGATGGCCGAGTGTGTGGTCGGAGGTGTGTTTTGTGCGATGGGTCTATTGTAGAGTGTGTCCAGAGATCTTGTGTGCTTTGTTTATGATGCGTTGGAGAGTAAGAATCTAATTAACCAAACTATTATTGACGAGGTTAGAATGCTTTCCATTATGGCCGTGTAGAACTGTATGAGGATACTGTGCCTGACCCTGAACTTTTTAAGTGTCCTGAGGAAGAATAGTCTGATCAGACGAGAACAGACTTTCACATGAAGGTCACTCCACCATTAATTTATAGGTGTGAATTATTCTTTAATCTTACGACAAAGCTGCTAACTCGCTGCTCGTTATGAATGTGTTGGGATGAGCAGTTTATATCAAACCAAATCCCACTTTGAAGTCACACTCAAAAAACTTGCATGCTGACTTTTAATTATGAATATCCCACTACCCTGACACAGTGCTTAAAGTATGACTAAATAGTCCGGTGGCACACCAGGGCACCAGCTGCTTAGTCAAACTGTCTGCCCTCCTCCTGTGCTACAGTGGGTGGCCACATGCAAGACACAGAATGCAAATTATAGCCAGACAAGTGCAATATCTGGGCGATGTGTCATTTCGCCGTTTCAGCTGTGAGCACAAAGCGTGTCTTGCCGGATGCAGGAGACGCCCGAGCGTGGCCAAGACAGCTTAAGGTTCACTCAGCCAATGTAAAGAGCCACTTGTCTTCTGCAAAAATACTCTTTTCTTTTCTCCCACTGTAAGGAGCATGGGCTGGGATTTGAATTTCATTAGAACTATCAAAATGACGTTAGCTATAGAAGGCGGCAATTAGAACGTCACCGCAGCCCACAAGTGAGCAGATTGAGTAGGAGGCCTTCACAAACAAGTGACATTTGGAACTGTCAATTCATGATTCAACGAATATTACATCTATAAGTTTCAGGGATTCAAAAGCATTGTGTACGAATTGAGGAAAAGTTTTGATTGAACACAAAGGCGTCTGAAAAATATGGTGTCATGCTGTAAGATAAATCGGGGGAAAATGCGTCTGCGTCTTATTATATTGTTTCAAAATTAAAAATCAGGGAATCCATCGAGGAAACATGGGATTCTGCGTGACATGATTTACATATACGTTGTTAATACTTTCTACTAGCATTTGAAAACTTTTTACTTGCCAAACTTCTTTATTATTATTATGTTCTAGATAGAGATTGTATACATGTTCTTTGATGCTAGAGTTAGAGATGTTGTTTTATTAGTATAGCATCACTGACATTTCGCTGTGGAACAACTAAAGCATCTCTCAAAAGCGTAAACATGTGATGAAGAAGCAACCATTATATGCACTATACACCATCTCCAACACTGAGGTGCAATTAATGACTTCATTTAACAGCATTCAAATGTAAAATATTATTGTGTTGACGATGAGTCCGTAATCAGCCAAAAATGGATCAGATCCAGCAGATCCAATATTGCTGTTTTTGAGCATATAGAAAAAACTGTCCATTTCCTTCATAATTATAGCATATATCAACCTTTTTCCCCCATATAAGGCGTTCCAAGCCAGCGCACTAAAAACAATGGTGCCTGCTTGAGTCAGAGCTCCGTCTCCTGCTCCGTCTCCTGCTCCGTCTCCTGCTCCGTCTCCTGCTCCGTCTCCTGCTCCGTCTCCTGCTCCGTCTCCTGCTCCGTCTCCTGCTCCGTCTCTGCTCCGCTCCTGCTCCGCCTCCTGCTCCGTCTCCTGCTCCGTCTCCTGCTCCGTCTCCTGCTCCGTCTCCTGCTCCGTCTCCTGCTCCGTCTCCTGCTCCGTCTCCTGCTCCGTCTCCTGCTCCGTCTCCTGCTCCGTCTCCTGCTCCGTCTCCTGCTCCGTCTCCTGCTCCGTCTCCTGCTCCGTCTCCTGCTCCGTCTCCTGCTCCGTCTCCTGCTCCGTCTCCTGCTCCGTCTCCTGCTCCGTCTCCTGCTCCGTCTCCTGCTCCGTCTCCTGCTCCGTCTCCTGCTCCGTCTCCTGCTCCGTCTCCTGCTCCGTCTCCTGCTCCGTCTCCTGCTCCGTCTCTGCTCCGTCTCCTGCTCCGTCTCCTGCTCCGTCTCCTGCTCCGTCTCCTGCTCCGTCTCCTGCTCCGTCTCCTGCTCCGTCTCCTGCTCCGTCTCCTGCTCCGTCTCCTGCTCCGTCTCCTGCTCCGTCTCCTGCTCTGTCTCCTGCTCTGTCTCCTGCTCCGTCTCCTTCTCCGTCTCCTGCTCTGTCTCCTGCTCCGTCTCCTGCTCTGTCTCCTGCTCCGTCTCCTGCTCCGTCTCCTGCTCCGTCTCCTGCTCCGTCTCCTGCTCCGTCTCCTGCTCCGTCTCCTGCCTGTGTGTTCCCCTTGGCTGACTCGGACTGCTCCTCCATGCTGAGCAGAAGATGCACAATCTGTCGCTCCGGTGTGGGACAGCTGAGGTAAGAGGCCCGGGGCACTGCCCGTGGAGCTGCTTTCCATCAGCTCACCAGAGGCCCCCACACGCCCTCTGTCCACGGCCCACCACTCCTCCAGGGCTGGGGATACATGATAGCTGTGCTCAGGCAATTGGAAAAATTCAATAAGAATCAAAGAGGGAATTTGTAAATCTGGCTCGGATCAATGTGGTGTCAGTGTTGTAGGTTAGTGGTTGATTGGTTAAAGGGACATCGCTCCTCTGCTGCCGATACCGAGATTAGCATCGAACACAAGGCTACATCCCTTTATGTGCGTCGTTTGAAGTGTACGGTGATCTTCTACTGCAAATAAATACACTGGGGTATGGGTTGATTTAATTTCCTCCACGACTTAAAGCCAGAGTTCAGGTTTTCAATCTGTGAAACTGGGAGGAAGTGTACTTTGACATTTATTTTATAATCTTAAGTGTTAAGTTAGTCATTTTACATTGTATTTTAGTAATAATTTGCTGTATCTCTGGTTTTTCCTCATTAAAAGCTGTGGAGTGCTTCTTTGCGGATGGATGGGGAGTGTTTAAACACCTGTGTAGGTGAGTTTAAACAGGTGTTAAAACCTACAGTGCTCAGCGAGGCCAGGACAAAAGGCAGATCCTGTTTGATGTGTGCTCTTATTTCCTTCTTTTATTCTGCTGTAATGTGTGCAACGACGACACTGACATTTCTGTGGGACGAATAAAGGATTATTTTATCTTGTATCTTATTATTCGTACTATAAGTTATATACTTTCTGGTTGGAAAAGCCGAATTAGATCAAATGAGCTATTGTTCTGAAAATAGCCTACTCTATATTTAGTATAGAATACATCATTCACTAGCTCAATGGGGTCTGTCATTTAAGATCAGATATCCTTTGTTTTATGTATGAATATTGTCTGTATGCGGAACCATTGGTAACAAGTCTGAGAAAAGTATTCAATAATCTGGCTACAGATTTGTTTAGACTATATAGGATATTTTGCATTGTTGGTGTTTGTAGGAAAATACAATAATGGTAAATATTTCAAACTATGTCAAATAAAAAGAGAAAAAAAGCTGTTTTTTTGTTTAAGCCTAAGACATTTTAGACAGTTTTTAGATGTGTAGGGAGAACCTGTCAGTTTTAAGTTCAAACAAAAGCACATAACATATCCATAAAAGCAGACAGTGTACTCATCACCAAAAAGTGCAAACTTGAAACTTTAACTACTTATTTCCACAAAATCGACAATCCCAATTATGGCAACGTGGTGTTATTCCCAAATCCTGCCGAGCTCAGCACTTGTGTCAAATGCCTCTGTGGTTCTCTGTGATCAAATTTGCATATTTATGTCATTAAAACACAATCCTAATGTCCAGCACCAGAAACGGTGACGTCCAAACAACATTTATGCGGCATTGGCTTGACTCCGGACGGTTGGCGATGTTGCATGGCTCCTTTTGTGTTCCTCTTGTTGTCCGGAGTGTCAAATCTATTTTCACCGCTTAAGTGCTTTTAAATCAGATGAACACTGTCTGCTCCCTGATCAAATGTTTAGTGTATGACTCACTTCAAAGCAGCACAATATCTCTCAGACCACTACTCAATAGTGGGAGCATTGTTCAGTTTTTGTGTTGCTATATATTTGCTAAAAATCCTTGATGATTTATATTATTGAAGGTAATTACAGGACAGCCTTTAATGTCTTGGGAGGCGTCGACAAACCGCAATTAATTACACAGCACACGTGTTTTAGACTCAAATTAAAATGGATGAGTCTGATGAGCTGTTATGGGTTTGCATTATTTGTTTTGCCCTTTAAAACAGTTTGGGTTACGGTACATTCTAGTACTTAATGTCCTGTAATGTTGAAGAACATCTTAACTGTTGTGGTCTATTCACTGGCAAGGGTGTAATTAATAAGTGGGATTGACAACAGAAACACTCAAAATGAATCACGTGGTCGAGGCATGTGACTCTGCAGAATTGGTTTTAATGAAGCCCGGGGCCAAATGGTGTGTCGACAAGTGAAAGATCTGTTTATTTGGACCTGTGTCGCCTGTTCACCAGGAAGAAGACAGGAATGTGTAGAAAGAAAGGGTCAAAACAAACTTTCAAATTAAGTCGACAAAAGGCAAGGCAGAGACCATATTATAATGTAGGTTTGGGCGATATAGCGATATTTACTATATATCGAGATATTCTTTAAAGCTGCACTAACTCACTTTGTGAAACTTTAAAATGTTAGCGCTGGCCTCGCTCTTTCTGCTCACCCTCCCCGCACTCATGAAGCTATCACCCCCAATACCCCCCTCCACTCAGCCTGTGCTCACATGATAACTGTATCGTGTCTCACAATATAAGTCCAAAGTGAAAATAAAACTAAAAAATCCGAAGGGAACAGGATCACATAACCAAGAACTGGCCGGAACAGGTGTTGACAAGACAATGGCCCAGCAACAAGGGGAGAGAAGCACAGGGTACATATAGACACAGGGTACATATAGACACAGGGTACATATAGACACAGGGTACATATAGACACAGGGTACATATAGACACAGGGTACATATAGACACAGGGTACATATAGACACAGGGTACATATAGACACAGGGTACATATAGACACAGGGTACATATAGACACAGGGTACATATAGACACAGGGTACATATAGACACAGGGTACACAGGTGAAACACATCAGGGCGGGGCAGACAATCAAGACAGGACAAGTCGAACTCAAACTAAAACCAAACCAGAAAACATATCAAAATAACAAAATAACAAAATCCACACCGTGACATCTTCCTTGTTTCACGAAAACTCGATCTAAAATAAAATGACACGCCAGCACAAATCTGCGCTACTTTTTCTTCAAAAGGACGTTTATCCCACTGCACTGCATGGAAATGGATAGAACTTTCGTAATGAATACAAAAATAAAGTCAGTTAGTGCAGCTTTAAGCTCGATATAATTCTTGACATATGGTTTATACATAATGTTTATATTTCACTTTTGCTGCTTTTCTTGTCTACCTTCTCTGTGTGTCTCATTCCACACTGAGGCAGCGCTTAGCTAGCAGCTCTGACTGTAAACATGCTCAGAGGAAACAAAGTTGTCTAAAAATCTGACAGAAGTGTAGCATCAGAGTATTCCATACAGCGCTGGACACAGCTCGTTTTGTCGTAATTAACCAACGTGGCTTTATACCAGAGACTGTAAACTCTCTACGCAGCTATAAACAAAACACAGATACAGACTGTGCTCTACGGAGAGAGAGCTGCTTGTCGCTGAATTGGAAAAAGTTACTTACAAAAACTGTAATCAAGGTTTATTTGGTAATACATGTTGCAGAAGCACTTTGTTCCCATATGCACCGCTCTGGTCCTTTATGCACTGCCTGCCTCGAGTTGAGTCGTTTTATTATTGGATGAAGAGAACGCAAAATATTTAATTTCTTAAATTATTTCACGGTTCAATTACAAACACGATAAACAGAATCAAACAACATAATAACGCATCATATATCGAGACATAGAAAAATATATCAAAGTGTTGGTTTTTTCTCCATATCGTCCAGCCCTATTATAGTGGACAGCAGCAAGAAAGTATCATCCCTGTGGAACAATATAGAGACATTTCAACATAAGGATTAGAAAGTGTTAAAGATCAGCATTTCATGATAAGATATTTAACCCTACAGGAGGGAGGTGGACCGGCTGGTGTCCTGGTGTCTCCTACAGGAGGGAGGTGGACCGGCTGGTGTCCTGGTGTCTCCTACAGGAGGAGGTGGACCGGCTGGTGTCCTGGTGTCTCCTACAGGAGGGAGGTGGAAAGGCTGGTGTCCTGGTGTCTCCTACAGGAGGGAGGTGGACCGGCTGGTGTCCTGGTGTCTCCTACAGGAGGGAGGTGGACCGGCTGGTGTCCTGGTGTCTCCTACAGGAGGAGGTGGACCGGCTGGTGTCCTGGTGTCTCCTACAGGAGGAGGTGGACCGGCTGGTGTCCTGGTGTCTCCTACAGGAGGAGGTGGACCGGCTGGTGTCCTGGTGTCTCCTACAGGAGGGAGGTGGACCGGCTGGTGTCCTGGTGTCTCCTACAGGAGGAGGTGGACCGGCTGGTGTCCTGGTGTCTCCTACAGGAGGAGGTGGACCGGCTGGTGTCCTGGTGTCTCCTACAGGAGGGAGGTGGACCGGCTGGTGTCCTGGTGTCTCCTACAGGAGGGAGGTGGACCGGCTGGTGTCCTGGTGTCTCCTACAGGAGGGAGGTGGACCGGCTGGTGTCCTGGTGTCTCCTACAGGAGGGAGGTGGACCGGCTGGTGTCCTGGTGTCTCCTACAGGAGGGAGGTGGACCGGCTGGTGTCCTGGTGTCTCCTACAGGAGGGAGGTGGACCGGCTGGTGTCCTGGTGTCTCCTACAGGAGGGAGGTGGACCGGCTGGTGTCCTGGTGTCTCCTACAGGAGGGAGGTGGACCGGCTGGTGTCCTGGTGTCTCCTACAGGAGGGAGGTGGACCGGCTGGTGTCCTGGTGTCTCCTACAGGAGGGAGGTGGACCGGCTGGTGTCCTGGTGTCTCCTACAGGAGGGAGGTGGACCGGCTGGTGTCCTGGTGTCTCCTACAGGAGGGAGGTGGACCGGCTGGTGTCCTGGTGCAGTGGTAACAACCTGGAGCTGAACGCCCAGAAGACAGTGGAGATGATTGTGGACTTCAGGAAGAGCACTGTCCCCCCGCCCCCACCCTCCGTGATGGACTCCCCCATCACCTCTGTGGAGTCCTTCCGTTTCCTGGGCACCACCATCACCCAGGACCTCAAGTGGGAGCCGACCATCAGCTCCCTCATCAAGAAGGCCCAGCAGAGGATGTACTTCCTGCGGCAGCTCAGGAAAGCCAAGCTGCAGTTCTACACGGCCATCATCGAGTCCATCCTCACCTCCTCCATCACCTCCTCCATCACCTCCTCCATCACCTCCTCATCACCTCCTCCATCACCTCCTCCATCACCTCCTCATCACCTCCTCCATCACCTCCTCCATCACCTCCTCATCACCTCCTCCATCACCTCCTCCATCACCTCCTCCATCACCTCCTCATCACCTCCTCCATCACCTCCTCCATCACCTCCTCATCACCTCCTCATCACCTCCTCCATCACCTCCTCCATCACCTCCTCCATCACCTCCTCATCACCTCCTCCATCACCTCCTCATCACCTCCTCCATCACCTCCTCCTCACCTCCTCCATCACCTCCTTATCACCTCCTCCATCACCTCCTCCTCACCTCCTCCATCACCTCCTCCATCACCTCCTCCATCACCTCCTCCTCACCTCCTCCATCACCTCCTCCATCACCTCCTCATCACCTCCTCCTCACCTCCTCCATCACCTCCTCATCACCTCCTCCATCACCTCCTCCATCACCTCCTCATCACCTCCTCCATCACCTCCTCCATCACCTCCTCATCACCTCCTCCATCACCTCCTCCATCACCTCCTCCATCACCTCCTCATCACCTCCTCCATCACCTCCTCCATCACCTCCTCATCACCTCCTCCATCACCTCCTCCATCACCTCCTCTCATCACCTCCTCTCACCCCTCACCTCCTCCATCACCTCCTCATCACCTCCTCCATCACCTCCTCCATCACCCATCCTCCTCATCACTCCATCACCTCCTCCATCATCACCTCCTCCATCACCTCCTCCATCACCTCCTCATCCTCCTCCATCACCTCCTCCATCACCTCCTCCATCACCTCCTCATCACCTCCTCATCACCTCCTCATCACCTCCTCCATCACCTCCTCATCACCTCCTCCATCACCTCCTCCATCACCTCCTCATCACCTCCTCCATCACCTCCTCCTCACCTCCTCCATCACCTCCTCCATCACCGTGTGGTTCCTGGAGCCACAGTCAGGGACAAACAGAGACTACAGTGCACTGCAGAGGAACTGATCGCCGCCCTCCATCGCGCAGGACCAACGTCGCCCAGCTCGAGCCGGCCGTATCACCACCCTCTCACCTGCACATGGACTATTCCAACCCTCCCCTCTCACCTGCACATGGACTATTCCAACCACTCCCCTCTCACCTGCACATGGACTATTCCAACCACTCACCCACCACTCTCACCTGCACATGGACTGGACTATTCCAACCACTCCCCTCTCACCTGCACATGGACTATTCCAACCACTCCCCTCTCACCTGCCACCACTGCACATGGACTATTCCAACCACTCCCCTCTCACCTGCACATGGACTATTCCAACCACTCCCCTCTCACCTGCACATGGACTATTCCAACCACTCCCCTCTCACCTGCACATGGACTATTCCAACCACTCCCCTCAGGCAGGAGACTGCGGTCCATCAGGACTAGAACCTCCCGCCACAAGAACAGTTTCTTCCCCTCTGCTGTTGGACTCTTGAACACTTCTTAACCTGTCCCCCCGCCCTTTATAAAGTCACTTTACTGCCCATCATACGTCACTTTACTTCACTGTACTGCTGTCACCTTACATTGTGTGCACCATGTGCACTTGTATATTGTAAATAGTAACTGTAACTCTATTTTAAATTTAAATGTATTCCTTAGAAGTGTTTTTTATTCTTTATTTTTATTATCTCTTTCTGACTGTTGCACTGAGCCAAAGCAATTTCCAAGTCTGTGACCTCCTGTTACTTACGTGGCAAATGATTCTGAAATCCTGTGGTCCCCGAACCGGACCCCCTCCGACCCCTGGCTGCGCCTAGAAATTCTGTCCATGAACACAGTGAACAGAACCGGTGACAAAGGGCAGCCCTGTCGGAGGCCAACATGCACCGGGAACAGGTCTGACTTACTGCCGGCAATGCGAACGCATAGGAAACTGATTCCACTAATACGTTTAGTTAATCAACTTAAACCAATGAAGTTCTACCAGTACTCAAATTGAAATGATCATGTGAACTCAAATACTTGGGTAAAAAAATGTATTAAGTTAATGAATTGGACTCTTACTGCACAAACATGTAAACTCAAATAAAATAGTCTCCATACTCAAATGCTGTATTACTCAGGACTTATTTAAATAGGTTAATTTTACTTATACATTTGATACACCTTAACTCTATGGTTTAAAATGTTGTACCCAATAGCTTCACTCTCATAAACCCAGTTTAAATGGTTTGCTTAACATTGTTGAGGTACGACTAAAATGATTGATAAAATAAAGTATCAAACACCTTTTCCCAATGAACATGTTTATTGACAAAACACCTCTTATAAACTGGTTCCAGAGACTAGTTGTATAACATTTAAGGAAACATCTGGCTTGTCACAATTATATTCACTACTTGCACAAATCCCATAATACTTAGCGGCGCTGGGGGTAACCAATATAGGCTGTATGAAGTTATAAGGAACAGGTTTGTTTAAGATTGTGTTTGTCGAGTTTAAACTTCTCGCAAGGTTTAGGGAAGCTAATATCAGGCTCTAAGTTTTAAGCTCACAATGCATTATGGTATTGGGCAAGCAGCGAATTACTAGTTTGGCTCAATATTTATCTGTAAATGAAGATTGAATAATGTATTTAAAAGAAAATTACAAGGCACGTTTATGATCAATGTTTGATTATTATTGTAAAAAAATGTAAATTTTTTGTAAAACAGTGCTTTCCATCACAATGAGATATTTTGTGCATCTCATTAAACAAAAGGGAACTAAAATGGTGCATTCATATATGTATAGTTAGCGTAGTTCAGATTAGCCCTGCTGCATTGCAAAAGCACTAGTCTAACAAAAATAGTTATTGTGACAGGCCAAGGAACACTATTTTTGAACACAACAGATTGGCATTTTTGGTCTACTAGACATCTGTACATCAGAGAACAAATGATATTCCTCTTTTTAGTTGATGAATTGAACACTAAGGTTACATGTTAAATAATTGGTACTTCAAATGAATTCCAACTCCTTTTATATAGTTAAATACTGATGTCATCTGAACAAAGCACTTCAATGGTTGTTTCTGCACCTTATTGTTTATGCTACCCTTTTAATGTCTTGTGACGATCGTTTGTATTTTTAGTCTGTTTTTATGTTGTCTCATGGTTGCAATCTGGAACACAAATGCAAAAGCACCCAATGTGTTTTTTTATAATAGAAATGGAAAATAAACTAAATTAAAAAAAAGTTGTCAGTGGTGCCTAATTAATTTTGGTCGGAGGCCGAATAGTGATTGTTGGGGGCCACACGTTTTTCTGGAAAATTTGTTTAAAGCTTTTGCATCTTTCTCTTAAAATTATGATAAGCATGTGGCTTTGATGTCTAAAATAGCTCCGATCATTTTGGCACAGAATCCTTCATACATAGGTCAACCAAAATGCCATCAATTTATCAACTAAAACTTCAGCTCAGCACTAGATCGATAAAGACTACTCATTTAACACATTTTGAAGTGACTGCAGTTTTGATTTAAGCTGCCGTCTATCATTGTGTAGTTTTTAAAGAATCACTTGAATGAACTCAAAAAAGCCAATGCACTTCTCCGGGTAGCTCAGATGCAGAGCATAAATCAACCCAAACAAACACACGAGAGCATCAGTCCATGATGTGCTGGACATTACAACCTGGTCCTCGAGCACAATGAAGACTTGTTGAGTTGAGAATGGAACACCGCCTGGGACATCATCAGCCATAGCCACAAGTGCAACAGTTCCCTCTTGAAAATCCATTTCGTCCTGCATGGGGGAGAATAATCCAGTTATCCATTTGTACAAATCAATTTACTATAGACGCCGCCCACAACCAACAGAATAGAACCCTTAACCATTTATTTTTTTTACCTTGCATATCTGGAAGAGATCAGATGAGATAATAATGGATTATTAGGCCGGACAGGGCTACTCCCCCCCTGGACTGCCACCTTAACGTGGTGGGGGAGTTTGAGTACTCTGATGATCCTGGGAGCTATGCTGTCTGGGGCTTCATGCCCCTGGTAGGGTCTCCCATGGCAGACAGGTCTCAGGTGACAAGTCAGACGAAGAGCGGTCCAAAAAACCACCATGGACAGCACGTTAAAAAGACCAGTGACGTCGCCCGGCATGGCGCAGCCGGGGCCCCACCCTGGAGCCAGGCCTGGGGTCGGGGCTCGTATGCGAGCGCCTGGTGGCCGGGTCTTAGCCCACGGGGCCCGGCCGGGCTCAGCCCGAAGGGATGACGTGGGCAGTCCCTCCTGTGGGCCCACCACCTGCAGAGGGGTCCGTGGTGGCGCGGTGCTGAGAGGACTGGGCGGCAGTCAAAGGCGGCAGTCGAAGGCGGAGACCTCGGCGACCCAGTCCGCACACACAACATCTGGCTCTTGGGACATGGAACGTCACCTCACTGGGGGGGAAGGAGCCCGAGCTTGTGGGGGAGGTTGAGCGATACCGACTAGAGATAGTCGGCCTCACCTCCACACACAGCTTGGGCTCTGGAACCCAACTCCTTGAGAGGGGTTGGACGCTCCACTTTTCTGGTGTTTCCCGCGGGGAGAGGCGGCGAGCTGGGGTGGCCATTCTCATTGCCCCCCATCTCAGCCGCCACGTGTTGGAGTTCTCCCCGGTGAATGAGAGGGTCGCGTCCCTCCGCCTCCGGGTGGGGGACAAGTCTCTCATTGTTGTGACGGCCTACGGGCCTAACAGCAGTGCAGAGTACCCGGCCTTCTTGGAGTCCTTGGGAGGGGTACTGGACGGTGCACCGCCCGGGTATGCAATCAACCACTTAAATAATGAAATAGTATAGCGGGGGGGGGGGGGGGGGGCCCAGCTCTTACCTGACAAAGTTGTTATATATGAAGAAATTTAAAGGTCTTCATGAACAGATAAATTAGCTCAGCGGATGAGCGCTAGTAAACCGATTGCGCTGGGTTCAATTCCCTCATAGCCCATCAATACGATAACATTTTAAGAAATTGGCCAAATCTAAGGAAGGAAAATAAACGTAAAATGTTTAAAAAAACATTAATAAATATGTAACTCATAAGTTTTTTTTTTTTGTAATGCATTTGCTGTGCCCATTATATTTTTTGAAATAAGATTGGCAACTGTTTTTGTACTTATAAAAAATACATATAAACCTTTTGCAAGTGTGAATAACAACAATATTAACAACAATGTTGCATACATTTCAATACCCATATTGGATAAACGTTCATCAAAATGAACTAATGCCTCATATAATTTAGTTTTGGGTTTTTGTAACTCAGTTGGTTTGGTTTATAATGACCTTTCAGCAGAACATGAGTTAGAGTAACTGCACTTCATTAGTAAGATGTACTGTTGGGTTTTACAGTGTAGTTGGCCTCCATCTCCGACGTCCACCTGGACTTTTTTCTGGTGCTCTGCCGCTGACTGAATATGATTCTTTTCCTGGTGTTTCCTCCCCTCCTCGCCAGCCCTCGTCCACCTGGTCTTCTGATTGGCTTACACGCCGCAGTCCACTGGCAGCGTGCTTCGTCTGTCCCCACAACAGACCACACATGAAGAGAAATCAGGCCAAAAACAATCCAACATGTTGGATATCCCTGAGATCGGAGCAGTCCCAAAGTCCTTCTGAGCGACGCAGTAATGAAAATCCAAGTCACAAAACACTGACCTCAGTTGTTCTGACCGAGAAAATTAAAAACATTAAAAACTGAGTCTTTCTCAATAGATTTGTTTTCAGTCACTTTTCTTTTTCATGTTTTTATCGTTTCTCTTTCGTGCTCATTACATCATGTTTTCTTTATTCAGGTTGGAGTTACTGTGGTTTGTCAGAGATCAGCTGTTCCTCTGTGGCCTCAGCTCTGGAGTCCAACCCCTCACATCTCACACACCTGACCTGAGGGGGAACAATCTGTCTGAATCTGATGTGAAGAAGCTCCTGGAACTCCAACAGAGTCCTCACTGTCGACTGCAGACTCTAAAGTGAGTAGTGACTTCTTGGTTCTGTT